CGGAAATGATCCTATTCCTTCCCCTGACCTCCAACATAACCTCTACCACCTGCAGAGAGTCAGGACCAAAGCAACACCCTTTAAGGTTTTGGTCTTAGAAGTTTAAATTGAAGTAAGTTCAGCCATTTAGAGACCACTTCTTCAGACAGACTGAAGGGAAAAAAGAAAGGAGATCTAGTTGCTCCTTGACCATTTAAGTTCCTTCTCCTTCAGCCACAGTGCCTAAAAAATAAAAAATCTGTTACTGTACCAAAGTTACATACAAACAAAAGTGGATGCTTTGTTGCCGTGGTCTGTGATGCAAGTGTCAAGTACAATTATTTGGAAAGGAAGATCCCTTTCTAGGCGTTCTCTAAGTAGACTGCCTTTTCTTGCCTCTCTACCAGATGAAACTTTAACTCTCTTCCAGTGGAGCATGTCCCTCCATTTCTGCACTGTCATTCTGAAGGCACACACCTGGACTGCTGCAGGAGGAGATTTTAATCTCCAGCAGCACAAACTGACTGCTTCGTTTCCCCTGGGTGACAAGTGTCTCTTTACTCTTTCTCCCCTCCAGATCGCCAACATACTCTGGGTACACAAGTTAATCAATCACCAGCAGCAAAGAAAACGTCAAAACCAGCAGAAAAACCCAAGACAAAACACTGGAAACAGAGAATGGCTCTTCTAAGGCTGAGATAAGAAACTGTAAACACTATGCATATTTCAAGCGAATTTACTTTTACTCTCCTCAACATGGGCAAATAACCAGTTAAACTCAAATCCAGACCTAAATAAACATCACGAGAAAGGAACCCTGGTAAGGCAGAGACAATTTCAGCTACGGGTCACAAATACAAATACCAGCCCTCTCGTGAGAGAAGAAAGGTTATTAACTGAATACCGATGAACACCGATTGCATGCACTTATTGCACCTCTTTCAAGCCCGTGAAAAGCAGATGGGCTTGTAACATGAATGTGAATCTGAGAAAAAAAGAAAAAGCACACAAATTCCAAGTAATCTTATACATTTTCCTTCTTACAGACATTCCCAGACTATTCCAGGATAAATGAAAACTAGCCAGTGAAAACAGGATCTGTAGAGCTTGAGAAGAAATAAATTATGTGGGAGGAGGGGTGGGAAAGGAAGAGGAAAAAAATCCTTACCAACTGCCTGGCCTTACTGTGCACTTCTCCAGGAGACCAAGAACCGCTTCTGATGCAGCAGCATCCAGCCCTGGAGGAGTCAGAGCAAGCAAAGAGGGAGGGGAGGTGCAAGGAGGGAAGGGAGGGGAGAGGAAGAAAGGGGAGGGGACAGCACATACACTGCTCTGTTTGCTAAGCCCTAACACTGCCTTCAGGAAAGAGAAGAATGAAGCTGCTTCTAAATTAGGCTGGGAATTGGTTTGCGATGGTTCAAAATGAAAAAGGAATGAGATCTTAGCATGACATTTTGGGTTCAAAACAAAGCGTCAGGAGGAAGAAATGTGTATCCCCACACGTGGCTATTTAGAAAACTTCAAATGCCAAATGTGCTTTTTGCTCCGATAGAGAGATCATACTAAAAGTCAAGCAGGGTAAATGTAAAGGCTGCAGCCAAACCTGACACTGCAATTAGTGAAAGAGAGAGACTGTCCAGAAGAAAGCAAGATTTCCTTGTTTTCCTCTAGTCCTTCAAACTCAACTTCCATCTACCTGCAAATCTAAGAGACAGTAAACTAACTGAAGTAGTCACTTCATCTCTTCATTCACATTTGTGTTGACAGCTGCATGCATCACAATATGCAGTGCGCTGCAAATGCCCCTGCTCAGATTTTCTCCTTGAAGCAGTAAAACAGACCAAAGGGAAGGGGAACAGCATGTGTACCAGCCAGAATCATAGGATCAAAATACCATATGCACTTTAACATAAAAGTCTGCCAGCCTTTCTCCCACCACCCTCCCAGTACACCCCAGTCCCACCCTACCATGAAAAGTTAGCTGAATTACAGTTTCAGTGCCTGAAGGGAGAATGGGAGGGGAACACTCATTGATTCATCTCATTGCCACATCTCTACAGACCGCGATCAAAAATCTCAAAGTGACTTCTCATCTCGAAGGCTCGACCTCTAGTAGCCCAAATTTCGCATTCCTCACAAGCTACACCATTTCTCAAAATCTACTGCCCAGCTATCCAATTTCTCAGCCTTTATTCCCTTGAGCTAGCAATTCTGCTTCTAGTTAACGGTTGTCCTCCATCCTCAGTCAGATGCTTTCTGGGACCTATGAGCTTCCCGAGCCCACAGAGCAACCTGAAGCCTTGCACGCAGGCAGAACCTGAGGAGCTCTCCCAGCCGCACCATGGCTGTGCAGCATGACACAGCAAGTGGTCCCACCGGATGACACAGCTCTGTAAAATTCTGACTCCACAGATCCATAGTGGGGCTTACGAAGGGCTCAGCTGACCCCTTACCTTCGACTGGCTACTTAACTCCTGGCAAAGATAGGTTTCAATCCAAAAATGGAGGAAGATCCCAAATGAGGTGGTGCCAAGGGGAGAGACAGTACCAGAGCTGCTACAGAATTTTTTAGGTCTGTCCCTGAAAAGCTGACTCCTGTGAAGCCCTCCACTGCTTCTGATCCATGAAAAAACAAACAGGCTGCTCTGTTATCCTCTCAGCTTTAAGATCTTAGCAGCTGTGGGAAAGACCCATCTTCACACCACTCCACAATAATACAAAAACTGAACCTCTTACTGTGACAGCCACATCATTCACTGGAGACTCCCAGGTTTATACATTGCCCTAACGGCTCTAGCAAAGTATTCCTGACAACTTGATCCAGCACACAGAGCCCCTGGGGCAGATGCTTATCTTAAAAAATGCAAAACAATTGCACGATGGCTAACAGCCTGCCAGGCAGCTCTCCTCAGAAACACACACACACTCTCCCACCCTCGCCCCACACCTCGCACCCAGCACTGCCATCCCCAGAGCGCCATCCCACAGACAGAGCAAACCAAGCATCATGCCACTCAGTGGAAAATAACATTTTTCTTACAGGAATAAAAAAGACAATAAAAGCATATATTGCCTTCCTCCAAGTCATGCCACACACCCAGTGGGTCCCCATGCCCATCCCCAGAGCAACTCACAAAGGGTTAGTGCAGCTACATTAATTCGGCTGGAAAGGATTTTCATCACCTTGTCTCTTTCCTCGCCTCTTCTGCTGTTTCAAAAATAGCTCTGGCTTGTTTGCTGTACCGCTTATGTCAGTCTGATTTTATGCCTGACTGGATATATACAGACAAGCTCGTAGCCCATTAAACACCGACTCCCCAGATCTGTACATCCATGCACAGTCACACAAACACAAAGCACAGCCCCCTCCCTGTCGGGCCATGCTGGAAAGCTGCTTGTTTGCAGAGGCTTTGCACTGCATTAAGTACGTTTATAGCAGGCCTCAAATAGGGGCTAGAGAACAGACTGCAGCCTTTTCTGAGGTTAAAAAAAAAAAAACAGCAGAAATGCAAAATAGCACTAACATCCATCTGTCTTAAAGCTGCAAGGAAGGGCCCTCCCTGTGATGAAAATACTTGGAAATGTGAGCGCATTTATCAAATGACCCAAGGTCATTCGGCCGCATGCTGGTAGTGTTTCTGTCCATTAAAGACAGACAATCCCTCCCGAAGGCTTTGAAAAACACTATCCACGACTGCGGGGACGAGAAAAGATACAAGAAGGTGCAGATACACAGAAATTCCGGAACAAACTACCCTTAAAAAAAACTTCAGCTAAAACTACTCTAAAATACGAGAAGCTGTCTGAATGAGATTTTTTTCTACTAGCACTTTTTAATAGCTGGGGTTGTTTTGAACAGCTCTTCTTTTGTAGAATAAATCAACTTGCTGGAGCCATTTCACTAATCCCAGATTAATTCCATTGAAATCTGGCATCCTTCCTGAACCCAGTAATCTAAAGCTCAGCCTCCTTTAGCACAGTTCTACCTTCAAGACCCAGCTCATGGGCTGTGAGCTGCCTCTGTGATTTATTTTTAAATGAAACTTTCTCATCATGCCATGACTCAGGAACATTGGTTACCATGAACTGAAGATTTCCACAAGGAAATACAGCACAAAGAAATCTTTATTACTCATTCTATCCATGTTGCTATACAGCTGTAAAATCCAATATGCATAAGCTACTCTATCACTTATTATAAAAATAAATTAGTATCTACTGACATTTCTGTATGAAGTGCTCCCCTATTACTTATCTGCTAAAAAACCTTCTGAAATTTAAGAGAAAAAAACCAACATGTACCATTTCCAGCAGTCACCACAGTCTGACAATAACACTAAAAAGATAAGCCCCTCAGGCACAGTATTTCTTGTTACGGGTGTTTGCTTCTAAATGCAATTCTGTATGTACATTAACGGGAAAGAACATACAAACAAAAGCTCACCACACAGCAACAAATTAGGATCTTAATACAGAGAGTATGAAAACTGGTTGTTATTTGACATCTGAGGACCTTTTCAGTTTCAGCCGCGATCCAACAAACCAGACATGCAAAGAACTGCAGCAGACTGCCTGGGAAGTCCAATCACAGCAGTCTTTAATGTCAACATCAGAAACAAGGGGTAAAACTCAGTTCTGCTCTGGGGCAGAGAGGTGAAATAAATGACTGCCCAAGATTCCTTTTCAACTCCTGACCCCCTGCTTTTTTTTTCCACAGAATCATAGGATATATCGGGTTGGAAGGGACCTTTAAAGATCATCTGGTGCAACCCCCTGCAGTGAGCAGGGGCAGTGTTACCCGATCAGGTTGCTCAGAGCCCCATCAAAGCCTGACCTGGAATATCTCCAGAGATGGGGCCTCCACCACCGCTCTGGGCAACCTGTTCCAGTGATTTTTGGCTTTTTCTGGGGCATTCCTTTACTCCTAGCAACCCCTGTTAGCTTTCACTCCTATTGAGACTGTTATCACACTTAGAAATATGCTTTGAACAAAGTATGACAATTAAACGTTGTCTTCTTACCCATCCTCCTTGCTGAATGATATAGTCTGCAGAATAGTCTTCTAGATATGTCACCCCGAAGTTCACAAGTGCACTCAGTGGCTCCTGGCCCTGTCTTGTTAACTCCATCAGAAACTGTTGTAGCAGAACCAGGGGTACCAAGACCTTCAAAAAAACAGGAATTGTTAATAAATCCAGAAGCATTATCAATACTACTGTGGAGGTAAAACAGAAGATTGCATGCGGTCCAAGGAAAGGTATGAACCTACAAGTTCAAAGACAATACACTTCATTCTTGTGAAGACACAAGGCAGAAACACAATATACAGTACAATACAGTAGGTAAGATGCACTTAATCTGATAAGCAAAACGCCACAGCTGAACTTGAGAGTGTCACAGAATGGGGCTGTGGTGCTTGCTCAAGCCCCATTTTTTTCCAGCACAAGGATTCAGGCAAACAAGCAGAACAGGTCCAGAACTTGCTACCCCAGAAGTGGGAAGATGCAACATTATAAACAGTTTGAAGGGATACACATCCAAATTGTATTTAAACTGCAAACTCATATACATTGTTGAACAGATGCACTGCACCAGACAGTCTCTTCAGAAGTTCACACTTGGCTTTCAGACAGGACAGAAACAACTCCTTCCAGCAGTGTAACATTACAGACATATTTAAAATTACAAACACAAACCCCTCTCCGTGTTAAACTCTCCCTCCTATGCCAAATTTAACACATACAGAATTCCTTCCCTCATTTTCTACTCCCATTCCTCCTTCCAAACCTTTCATCTTTAAGTGAATGCTCAGCCTTAACCCAGATGTGAACTGCTCTGGAAGATGTAGCACTCCGTGAACCTACCTCCTTCACATTATACAGTTCTAGATCCTTCTTTCTGAAATTATGTTTTTGTTTGCCTAAACAACATGCAGTTGAACTTTTAAACTCTGAGTTTATTCTCCTAGAGCACGCAAGCGGCCCTCTGGGCAAAGTTTATACGCAGCACTTTGCCAAGTTCAGGAAACTGGTATGAACTGAAGTCATTAGCATCTGAAAAAGCGCTATTATGGCACAAGAGGAAAATATTTGTAAGTTTTACCGCACCTAGTTTGTGACAACTGCATTGCACATCTATTCACTGCGCAAATAAGAATGTTGTTTCACAGCTGCACAGAGTAGATGCAGGTGAATACTACCACTCAGACTGAACTCCAAAAGCCTCCTTCTTTTCCCAGTCTCTTCCTCCTTCAGCCTGGTTTTCGTTTTTGTAAATGTGCATTAAATATCCATTACCATTCCCAGAAATCACTCCTTAGGATACAAAGCTGAAGGAAGATGAACAAGAAAAGTAAGCTGAGTTTGAGATTTGTACTAAATTCATGGTGCAGTCACACTGAGAGGGATGGCTGAAAACAGATGGGGCCTTAAAAATGCCTGTAATCTGATAAATTTCAGATGTTTCAGCTGATTAACAACTGACAGAGTCCAATACCATGGCAGACAAGTTACAGTACTGTTCTTCCGGGATGAACAATTAACACTGCAATCATTTAACCAGGAATGAGATGGTGCTTGAATTTTAAAAGCCTTGGGGTTTTTTGAGTTTCTTGTCATCAGTTTCAACTCAGAGGCAGAAGAGGTGCAAGCTTACAGTGCACAAACATAAGGAACAGGTCAAGGTAAGGTACGTGTCAGAAGAAACTTCACCCTTTTTGGGTCAAAGGAAAAAAAGCACGCTGCTAAGACCAGGCATTTTTCCGAGGCTTTGAGCACACCCACATAACTGCAACAGCATGAACATTGAGATCTCAAAATATTTGACATTTACTTTAAGCTGAAAGCAAGAGAAACAAAGGCAAAAAAAAGGCTGCTTAGGAAATGAAGCAAGCTCAAATGTTGGCATACTGAACATGAGTGCTGCCTTCTTCCCTTGCCAACTTGAGTATCTAATCCATCCACTCTTCTCAAATTCAGAAAGCCTCTGCAGGCCTTAGGAGCAAGGGAACAAATTCAAACTCCAATATCCAGTCCCAGGCAGACCAACAAACACAGCCTGGTTTTCCTTCCCCCCCTAAAATTACTGGCACTTACACCTTTGATACCAGCAGGAACATGTTCACGTGATACTGTCCCTAAATTACCTAAATGTCCCTAAATAAAAGAAATTACCTTCACTGTACTTCCGTAAAGGTTAACAACAGCCTTCTGTAGGTAAGAGTACCTATGTGAAAGGTGATGAGATTTAACTGGACCAAAGTAAAAATACAGCCTCAGCAACTCAAAGCTACTGCAATTCCCTCCACCAGTACGTCTGGGAAGGAATGCTAGGGGCTATTTATATTTTGACTGAAGAAAAACACACAAACTCAAGCACAGCATGCCAGAAAATAATTGGCAGGAAAAAGCTTCTAGGGAATCATTAAAAATAAAACCTTTACTATCAGAAAATTTCTGATTAATTGTGTAAATGAAAGATTTCTGTCAATTATGCTATTGCAATCCCATAGTACAATATTACAAATTTAAATGTATGCAAAAAGAATTCTTACAAAGAAGGTTCAGAGATTTTGAAGAAGCTGCATCCAAAGTAATTGCCGCTTGTGTACCTTCTGACTATTTCAACATAAAATTAATCGAATTCTTTACACGTACCATTGCACTCTAGAAAAGATCCACATTTTTAAATGGAAAAAATAACAGCTATATATAGAAGTGTCTTCTTTGTGTTCATGCTTGTGTAACGGATAGGCTCTTTGAAAACTGACTAAAAATGACACCTCCCTAACTGTAAACCAGACAGATGAGGCCTTTGCCCAAATTCAGCCTCCCAGCAGCCAGCTAATCCAGTACCTCCCGGCAGCACATGCTTACCTGTAGGCTGTGTTCCTCATACACGTAACAGCAAGGAAGATTTGCAAAGACTTGGAGACTGCTTTGTCCCACAGAGATATTGGGCCTTTAAGGGATCAGCGTGGCTCTCTGAGTGCATCACATTCAATACATTAAATAGGTGGGGCTTTTATACATACATAGGTATAATAATACATACCTACAATAGCAAAGGCCCTGAGGTTTAAAGTGAGATTTTATATACTAGTTCATAGGCTACTGAAAGCAAAAAGTGCATCTTGCACAGAAAGATGCCACTGCTGAGCACAACAGAAAGAGCTTACGTGTAACTGGAAACACATTTCATCTACTAGCTTCAGTTGTTTTACTTCTTCCAGTCCGGATCAAGCCACAAGCCTTGATCACACAGAATTCTGTCTGTGGGAAGGTATTTCCACAGTTTTAACCCCTTGGCATCTGCCACAGCCACTGTGCATGTTCAATATCTGCTCCACCCAAGAAACCGGAGGATATGTAACAGCTGTGAGCATCTGACAGGGAGTAATTTATTATTCTGCTCAGCTAGTTGTACATTTTATTATTATTTAGTCATAAAAGGGAATAAGCTTCAGTTCTCCCAGTAGTCAATTTACATATACATCCTTCTGATTTTCACAAACTTGAGGCCAGCACAGCCTCATTTTGCTGCTGTATGCCTGCTAATTAGACCTAATGCTATGTCTATTTATAGCTACTTTTAAAAACTATTTTTCTAACAGCTTCTGCTTTAGAGTGAAGATTAAGCTAGACTGAGGTTGCAGGAAAGCTATCTACATCTCTTCTGTTATAAAATATTATTCTGATTAAGATGATAAAGCAATTTAAAAGGAAATGAAACCAACACAAATGTATTCCATGTCCTCAAAACAAGTATTATTAAAGGAACTGCTGGTCACTCCTGAAGCATCAAGCTACCACAAAAACAATACAAACAGATGCTGCATTATTCTACAAAATTTCCATTCTGGTTTGCTGGACTGTAAGTTGTGGAGCAACAAATATTATGGGTAAGCAAAGATGATGACAAAGACACCTTCTGAATGATATTCTCAGTCACAAGCTGATGGAGACCGAAATCCACCAGCCACCGGGGCTACACAAATGTAGCAGCAATGAAGGCTGAATCACACGCCCCCCCCAAATGCGGCTGATCCAGCTACCCAGGGCTGTATCTTCAAGAGTCAGAAGCGTGACCTAGTCTAGGTGATCCTGCTCTGGCAGGGGGGGTGGACTGGATGATCTTTCAAGGTCCCTTCCAACTCCTGAGATTCTGTGATACTGTGTGATTCTGTGAAGAGAGGTGGTACCAATAGCATATGGAGATGCAGTAGGCAACTGACAAGCTCCATCCACCTCCTCCCTTGCCAGCTGAGCCACATAAAGCCACTGGGCTTTATGCTTGGTTTTAGTTTCCAGCAACTGAAAAATAAAATGTGCTAGCTTAAGTCACCTTCTTGATAATCAGATTTCATGGCTGTTTAAACTAAAACGCTGTGAATCACGGGATGATAGACCGAAAGCACTCACACAATCAATTATAATTGCAGGAGCCATGGGCAGTAACTTGTCAAGCAATGTTTAACAAACTGCTTTGAAAGTGCCCACGCCCTTGGTTAGACGATCACTTTCTGAAGTAAGCAGGGAAATCTAGTTAAGGAAAAGTATTTCTGGAAAAATATGTAGAGAGGGAAAAGTTCTATTTCTTGTTCTATTTTAAATTTAAGACTAAGTTTTAACACTCCATTTGTGATTAAATTTGCAAATAGTTATTTCATTCTTTCATTCTTTTTCTGATGCTCACTGAACCCATCAGAGAACGACTAAGAGAATGAATTTGAATGATTAATGAAACACAAATCTGGGAACAGTAATTATACTCATTCTACATTAAAATTATTATAAGAGAGTTCATTTACAGATTTTCATTTTGTTTTAAAAAGAAGCTTCAGATCATTTGAAATAACGACTCCTGAAACCAGGTAGGCACACCATCTTTATGCTTTCTGAACAATTTAAATACTGTGCAGGTATTATCAAGTTTTATTTTCACCACATTTAGCACTTTTTTTTACCATATATTTTGAACTGCAGGTGGGAGCACAGAAACAGCAGAGAAATATTATGAAAACATCCATCTCTCATTTCATGATAAAACTTCTAAAGAAATAAACCTCTCTTGGGAATTGAAAAATGTGTAATAATTATTTTTTTTTAATTACTATGTTAAGAAACAACTCTGACTTTTGATTTTTATTATCATAAAGGAAGACTGCCCTAATACTTCCATTACATAGCTTCTGGCTAAATTATCTAAAACCTACATATTATGTCCACATCTACCATTCTGAAAGTTATTTCCTACTAAAAACAAGTGGGTTCTTTTTTTTCTTGGCCCTCTGTGAAGCATAACTGTACCCGGTAAAAACACAACTGACATCAAATAGATGTGAGAGATGTCAAAGTGAAAGTCACTTATTTGGTACCTTGTTCCATCCACTGGCATGAGCAGCTGTCTCTTGTGTGCGTTCTCGATACTCTTGATATGTCACCGGCCTGCAGAAGTTAAACCAACACTGAAAGTTATAAAAGGAAACAAGAGAATAAGAAGAAAATAAAATTCTCGGTTTCCAGAGAACAAAATATTTTCACATGTATTACAACAAATAATTTTCAAGCAGTAACAAGTCTCAAGACATAAAACACCAGCACCAGACAGGGTCAAGAAGGCATCACTTTCTCCCAGTTACACAACTGCATATAATTGGTTAAGTGAATTTCGTAATAATCTGATACTTCACAACTTAAAGGACATTAGATAAGTAGGTTCTCTTACATGCTACCAGAATTTCTAAGCTCTTGTATATAATTTTTTATCATCTAAGATTTTAAAGATAAAAATTCCACTAAGAAATTCATACGAGGGATAGAGGCCAATGCAGAGTAAAATTTTCAAAAACAGTAAAGGCTATGAACCAACACAGACTGCTTGATCACATTAACATTATGTTAGAGTCGAAGTCTTTATTTGCAAGAAATGGCACTTTGGATCACAAAAGCCCTTTCGTATTTCAGTAGATAGCTTTATTTCAGACTTATCTCTACTTCTCTGAATTGGGATGATGAAATTCCTCTCTTCCATACTCTTTTCTCCAACACCATGCAGTATCTTAGAGCCAGTAACAACAAGGGCTTTCTGCCAAGTGCCAGCAGAAGATGTGCTGCTTCAACAGCAGTTGTCCTCAGCCAGATCATGACAAAAGGCACGCTCAGACTTTAGTTTCAGGGAAATAGTGGCAACTGGTATTGCACAGAAGACTGCCTATTGAACTCTAAGAACCTGTCACGATCTAACAGCCTACTGTACCATAAACAAATTTGTTTATGTAAGAGGACAGGGAAATATAAGCAAAATAAATATTGCCTCAAATAGCACTACTATAGCAAACACGGGTACAAGAACAGAGTTAAAGCACACTAGTGAAATCATACTGTGGGTTTGTCATTTTAAATCCATTCTCTTAACTTCCTTGGTACATTAGTTCCTTTCAAACACAAATCCAAATGAATCAGTGGGATGAGAAGAGCAACAACAGCTGCAGGATTATCATTGTATTATCAAGAGATTAAACAGTAGCTCTAGCTTACCTTATAAAAAGGCATGTGTGTCAACACGTTTTCATAGGCATTTCAGACTTTCTATGTATGTACGTACATATATAAATAATAAAAATACGTAGAATGCAAGTATTTTCCCATAGAAAACACAAAAAGCCTAGAACATCAGGCTACTAACAAGCTAGAACCACTTGACTTTCGAAGACCTTATCTCAGGAACTTTAAAAAAAAAAAATCAACCTAGAGTGCACCAGTTATGACCTCTCAATGTCAGACAGTTGGCCAATTATCTACAACCTTTAAGAAATTTAAACTTAAATGCTGTTATTTCAGTTTACCATTTTAGACACACAAAAAAAGATGGGTTGCAAGGCTTACTGCCCTTTTTCCAACTTGTTGCCAGTCTGTTTTTTTAGTCTGTAGTGAGGTATTAAAACCTCAGCTCTTCAGAAGACACTAAGTACAAGATTTTAAGACCACATGGGGCAAAAATGCCTGACTTGTAAAAGCAGATAAGCTTCTGCCATTTCTGGAGGAACACACTAGCATATCTTTCACTACTGAAGGAGAAACTTGTACACCACATACTCTTTTCCGTGGGTAAATATTTGTTAATTTGCACAATACTGAAGTTACTTTTTGACCCTACAGAAACTGCACATAGACGCAGACAGTATGTGCATTAGTTACTGAAAGTTAAATGGTGAGTTGACAGCGTGTACTTTTCTCTTGGATGACTCATGGAAAAAGAGACAACTATCTGCTCAGGTGTTGCATGGCACCTTTGCTGTGAAATCCAGGTTAGTCACAGAAACACAGGAAGGTTTGGGTTAGAAGGGACCTTTAAAGATCATGGGCAGGGACATCTTTCACTACATCGGGGTGCCCAAAGCCCCATCCTACCTGACTTTGAACAGTCAGTTTTAAATTACATTGGTCATGAAAAGGTAACCCTTAGCTGCTGACTAGGGAGACAGTTAAGGAACAGATGGGCTAGTTAAGGAATCACAGAATGGTTGAGGTTGGAAGGCAGCGCTGGAGAACATCCTGTCCAACCTCCCTGATCAAGTAGGGTCTCCTACAGCAGGCTGCCCAGGACCATGCCCAGAGAGATGCATTTTGATTATCTCCAAGGATGGAGACTCCACAACTCCTCTGGGCAATCTGTGCCAGCGCTCAGTCACCCACACAGTATAAAGGTGCTTCCTGATGTCCAGATGGAATGACTTCCATATTCATAACCTTCCAGAAGTCTGTCATAAAGGGTACTACCATCATGAGGGCATGAGATGCCTCTCCAATGCAAGTATGAAAGGTTTAAGCCCCATGCATCAGAACGTTTACACCAGGTGCTGCTACCTAGGCTTCCAGTACCTTGTTGTTCAAACAGTTCATGAACAGCTACACAAACTCTGAAAGAGTAGTACAAGAGATTCTCAGCTTCTTTTGAGGACTATTATTTAACTTAATCCACAAAACAGACTCAGATAGCTATTTGCTAATGCTGCCTTCACAAGCGCATTTATGTAACTGTCCCTAAAGTAGCACCATCCAAATCCAGCTCTCTACAAGTACATTTTGGAGGTCACTCAGAACAGCCAGAAGTAGTTCATGTGGATCCATTAAAATAAAACTGGTCATTTATAACAGAAAACCAAGCAATCACAAAAATTTTACCAATTTGCAAAAGATGTTAATCAAGATACTAGCATGCCAAGTACAATGTGCTATTTAAACAATGAGTGTAAACCGGCAGGACAGCTCTCAAGACACCAAGGTTAACCCGGGACCTATATTTGCTTCACATGTGTACCTGAATGGTGGTGAAAAAGCATCTAACTACCATTCTTTCAGGGAAACTCTCCCACTCATCTTGAGCCAGACTACAAACAAACATTCAGCTCCACTCCTAACTAAAAGATAAAAGAAATTAATCTGGCTACAGCCCAGCATTCACGAAATTGGCAATGGCAATTGGCAGCTGCCAGCTGCTGGTTTCACCAGCAACTCAAACTACTTGAATCAGTCTCAGAAGTTCAATGATAAAAGCTTAGAAAACTTTCAGAATTTACATTACTGCAAAGAGCAAATACCACTAAGAAATATTTGCACATTAAAACACAAAAGGTAAAAAACCAAAGAGTCAGATAAAGGAACACTGAAAAAGAAAGAAACACATACAAAAGTATTCCCATCTTTAGCATTTCGGCAGCAGTCACAATGCAGTAGGAAACACCTTCCCTTTGAAAAAGCAAATGGAAACTCACTTGCTAAGCAAGCTCTGCAGTGCTTTGTGCAGATGTTCTTTCAGTTCCTGGGACACTTTCTCCCCGAGATGAGCCAGGCAGTCTTCTATTGAGCTCTCTGGGTTGGCAGGACTGAACACTGGGGAAGTGTGGCAGTCAAATCCTGTAGTGGTAAATGCTGAATGAAAAAAGTATAAAAAATAAAATTAAACAGATTTGTATAAGAACATCAACAGTTTCAGATTTCTTATCCCACCAAACAGAGTTTACATGAGGGACAAAGAACTCATAACTCTACAGTCAAAGCATACTATGAACAAATTGTAGTAGAGCAAGTATGGTCCAAATATATTCTGGAAGTCGTAATTACAAGCCATAGATGACTTTGAGCTGTACTTCCCTTCCAGCTCTTATTTCACAACTGCATCCTAACCAGCAAGTTAGCTAAATGTGCAAATATTCTCAATTTTAAGCCTATGCCAACCCTGATGGAGCAAGAAAGCCACTTTTCCATAGTAAAATTTGCCCACACATGGACATATCTGCAGCAGTGCTAGACTATCATTTTTAAAAATAATTTGTTCATATAACCTTCTCCTTCTTAGTTCAAAACTTCTAAGAAAGGTCTATATGGATGAACGTAAACAGATCTAGTGTGTTTCTACTTCAGATTTCCAATTAGCTACACATATGCAAAGCAAAGATTGTTTTCAAATCATCTTTTGCTGGGTGTCCTATAAAAGCCACTTGTACACGTCAAAGCACGTCACAAAACCCAAACCTGGTGAAAATGCAAAATCTGATCATTGAAGACCACACTCCTCTGCATGTTAGCTGCTGAGGAATGATTTCACTTCTGTCATCAACTGGAGCAGCTTAAGGGGTGTTTACATTTCAGTATTTATAGTAGCCTATTAAATATCATTCAATTGTTTGCTTTGGCTAGACTCCACCACTCCGAACAGTAACGTTTAACTACTTTACTTCATATGACAGTCTGTAGAATCTTGTGTGGGGAGGAGGGTTAAGAAATTCAACACATCCAATAATCTCCTTAATAGAGTACCTGTTACGAATTAACCACGATTATAGTGCACAGAGATTATCGATTAAAATGGGAAAATCTGAAGAGCACCTTCCAAGATTTCTTCATCGAGACGTTTTAGCTCCTCTTCAATTTCTGTTTTAATCTTCTCCAAAGCCTCTTTCTCCAAAGCATGTTGTGCTGTAAGCTGTTGTTGAGTCCCTAAAAGAAACCAGAGAAATTATTTAAATGTAGTACATAAAATAAGGTAGTTAATGGAACATGATATTGAAATATTAACTAAAAAGGAACTCAAGGTGAAAGTTCTATTTCAGACAGCAGCATAAGAAGTATGATCCCTTAAGAGCACTTCTTACAAAAGTTTTATTACATGAATCCAGAAACACACAAACTTTTGGGCCTACTCAAGATGGAACAAGTGCTTAAGTATGAAATATATATATATA